ATAACCTCCTACAACAATAACCGGAATGGAACAATTCAATATTCCGGACCGGAAACAGGTAAGCACTATACCTTGCGATTAATAACGAAAAGCGGCGATGTCCACCCTAAAATTCTGGTTAAAATCCTATGATCAATAATTGTATGAGTAGGTATTATCGGTATTTGGCAGAAACGCCGATCGTGACACCGACTTTCACTGTTTGTTTACGTTTCCATAAAGGCGCGGGAAATGCGCGCCATGCGCGGTGGGGGTGGGGAGGAGGAGAGGGGTAGGGGACGCGGCATGGCGCGGGGATCCCCCCTGTCTACAGGTCAACCGAACCGTGAGTCCACTAGACAAATCCTTTGCTGAACGACGGGGTCTAACCTCTTGCTTCCTTTTGTTCAATTTTGTATGTGAAGGGTCGCCTAGGCTGTCAAAGAGTGAGTCGGGATTTTGTTCATTCTTATTCTGGTTTATCACTTTCTGTGCGACGAGTCTACACCCGAGTAGCAAAATAGACCCATGTGGACATATGCCGAGGCACCCCCGGCATGCTCTGACAACTTCAGACAACCAGTCCTCAAAGGTTTACATCAATTTTGAGCTGCTATGGTGAATTCATCAATTTAAACATGTTTAACATGTCTCTAAAGTACACTGTCCTAGAAAAATATTCAGTTAAAGGAATGGGCTCTAATTTGCAGCTTCATTTTTTTTTTTCCTTTTAGCTCTCTATCTTATTTCTTTTGCACTCTTGAGTGGTATCAGAATGGGTGGTCACTTAAAGGATCATTTTAACTTAATGCTTCTCACCATATTTAATCAGATTTTTGAAACCTTTCCTTGAACCGTGCAAGTTATGTAAAAATGAGGATTTGTTGAATAATCAATTACCCATATTCTGCGCTATCTTTGTGCAGCTACAAAGTATTTCTGAAAAAAACATTAGAATCTCTCGAATATTTTGGTGTTCTTACCATTGTGCAAACATATCAGGATGAAGAATTATAATACACAATTGAATTTGCTTGGAAGCCCTATCATGATCATGATGGGGAACATGTTAACATGTTGAGTCCCGTTTGTGGTCATGTGGGGGTGCAACATAAAATGTGAAATATACAGACAGGCCTTGTAATATTTTGAACTACATTTCAACATCTGAATTCCATTCTATACCTTGTTTCAGTCGGCCATCCACGTCCCCTTACCATGCAGCTGCTCCTGGTCGCCGAGCAGACAGCCCTCCTGCAGAAGGTCACGAGCCAGTACCAACCCACCCTGGAGCCTCTTATTACCGAGCAGGGTCGTGTCGCCATCACACCAGTCCTCACCGTCACTCCGCCTCAACCTGCTCCTCAGAGATCTCAAAATCAATACTATGGTAATGCGCAGCCACCCACTACCACAACCACTACCCTCTCGCTGTCGTTGGGCTGCAGCGTCGAGCCTGCCGAGCCCGTCCTGGTCCACTGCAAGCTCGTCGTGAGTGACCGCCGGAGCATCCAAACCAAAGACTCAAAACCTCCGCAAACTAAGGAAGTAGAAGCTCGCGCCATCCTCCAAACGGGTTTAACAAATGTGTCATCAGTGGGTACGCTGAGCTTCGACCATCCCTTCGAGAAGGTGACCATCCTCTTCAGGGTGTACGACATCGTCGACGGCCGCCCCGCGTCGGGCCTGATCCAACGTCTCAACCGGGCCCGCCTGGAGGGCAGCCGCTCCTGCGACGTGAAGCTGGTGGTGGACGGCGTGGAGCTGGACGCGCACCGCGCCGTGCTGGCCGAGCGCAGCCCCGTGCTCAACAGGATGCTGACGACGGGCTCATTCAAGGAGGCCCGCGAGGGCCGCGTCGAGGTGGTGGACTTCCCCCGTGCGGCGATAGAGAAGTTTCTCGAGTACCTGTACACGGACCGGGTAGAGGACTGCGATGGCTGTGAAGTGGAGCTGCTGCAGCTCGCCGACAAGTACGAGGTGCCGGAACTGACTGACTATTTGGAGAAGAGGTTGTGGACTTACGACCCTCTGCGAGCCGTGGAGGTGCTGAACGCCACCGGCGTCAGCGACATCGTCAGCAGTCCGCTACGCCGCCGGCTCACGGCCATCGTGGTGGACAACCTAGCGGACCTGGATGGTACCCCAGAGTGGGCTGCCTTTAGGGAGACTCACCCCGCCCTCGTCGACTTCCTGGTTGGTACAGTAGCCAGGTCGGCCGAGTCCACGTGCTCAATGTGGTCGCAGGACCACCTCGCGGGCCAACTCTGACCAGAGGACTTTAACTCTGACAAGTCGATGTAGACCCGGCGGGTCAAAATGGTTTGCACCAAGTGGGGTGAAATATTCGCATTGACAAATACAAGTGAATATGAAGCAAATTTGTGAGATTTGTCATTAAATTTCATCAAATTTAATGGTTTGAAAAATGTTATAATAAATCTGTAGCTTACTTGAAATTTCATTCCTTGTTTCTTAGACTGACTACTGCAGAATATTTGTGTATTCTTGAATATATAGCTTAGTAGCTACTTGGGTACATTCTATCCATTCTATCTATGCCATTGTTACAAAGGCAATGTAAAGTTGTTGGACAAATGTTAGGCTAGCAGGAAAGTACCCTTAAAAATGTACAATGCATATTAACAAACATGTCAATTTTATTTTAAAGTGAAAAATAAATTATTTTTAGATGAGAAAAACTTTCAAGAAAGAACTTGTGAATTACAGTCAATAGACTGCAGCCTTTCAAGCAAAACTAACATTGAAGTTCCAGCGAACATTTATCATGTTTTACTTAGTACATAAAGCATATCTATATGTACAAATCAATCACAGAAAAAATAATTACCTAAGATATTAGTGCCAATGGCACATTTGACACAGCATTTATTCTAGCTTTGATGCAACTTTGATGAAGAGTCTTCTCCAATAACTGGGTAGGATTCAGTGGAATCTGAAATTTTGTTTACTTGAGCCTTTTTAAGTATTCTCCCTCCAACAAAACCTTTGATGCAAATAAAAATGTTTTGAAAAGATTATGGTAAACTAAACAACTTACAATGTGACAACAGTGGTTTAGGAGAACTTACCTAGCAATCCACCTCCAATAGCTGCACATCCACCAGCTTTTAAACCAATGAAAAGGCCGACAGGACCTCCAACTAGAGTGCCGACAGCAGCACCCATCAGTGGATACATTGCTGCTTTATATTTCAACGCTCTTTTTAGATTGAGGGTTCCCTGTTGAATGTGCTCAGCTGCATCTGACACATTATCTCCAATATTATCAACTATCTCTCCCTGTGCCTAAAATAATTTAATGTATGTAAATATAACAATCAAGGAAAATAGAATCAGTTAAAAAAAGTTGACAAACTAACTTGTGTCAGGGTGTGAAGGTCTGCATAGATGCCATGTAAATCTTCTATGTCATCACGCAGTCTTTCCCATGATTGCACATATTCCTCCTCATCCTTATCTAAGATTGAGGATCTATCACCAAAAAGTTGTAGTTGAGGAGCTGACTTAAAGTCAATATCTCTATGATCAGATACAGTTGTCTTACACCTATTCTCAGGAGATAGGAGCTTCTCACCCAAACCTTGAACATAAGAAAGAAATAGGTTGTCAGTGTCATAATTTAAAATACTAACTTCTATCGATGAGAGGACCCAGCTAATTTTTATACTGGCTTTAAAGTTGAATATATAAAGTAAAGTAAGGGACTGACGTGCAAAATATTTCAAAATAATGTCAAATTTACAAGAAGTAGATCTTTCTATATTGGCGTCCAAATAGTGCAAAGCATTGACACCGTAATAAAAATGCTACGTTTCGGTATTGAAGATAAGGTTTAAAAGTTTTACATACACATGTATTCCTCCATAGCCATCAGTGCTTTTGAGCGAGAATTTTCAGTAGCTTTGTCAAATTGTGCTACATCTTGGACATCGACTTGGTTACGAAGGGCTTCTATCTCACTTAAATCTCTTCTTAGATTCTGAATGAGCATTTTAGCAGATGACTGTTCTCTTACAGCACTAGAATAGTCCCCAGATTGGATTGCCTAAAAGAAACACATATAGAAAATTACTACACTTGTTTCAGAAATACCAGTGTGGTTCCAGAAAAGTCACGCACAAAATAAGCTTACTTTTTCTATATTGCTTTTATGCTTCTTCATCATGTCCAACCTATGTGGTATGACTACATCATTAAATTGAATAATGGAATGTTCAAAAAGTTTAAATGGCCTCTTTTTGGAGGTTGGGCTTTGTTGTTCAAACATTTTTAGTGAATGGTAATCTTAAGACTAACGAACACTTAATTATTGAGCCCAATTTCAACTGTAATAATAACTGTAAAAACCTTTACGGCATGTGAAATTATTGAGAACTTCCCTCCATCTGCTAAATATTAAGTGCGCACAACCCACAAAACGAAAGCACAACAACCGGACTGCGAATAAAGCTTTCCGTGTTTCCGTCTGCTGTTTTTCTCGTTCGTATAGTAAGTCGACAAATGACAACACTGTGAGGGAGGCGCGCCGTTTGAATCACCCCCGTTTGAATGGGCCCCCCTCTCCAAGTCTATATAGTGTTTCTTTGGCAGATAAAGGTTGATTTATGGGATACTATTTTAGCTCGCAATCTGTTGCCTTGCAATACGAAAAATCAGGAGTGAGTCATTGAAAGAGAAGAGTCGAAATTGTACAACAATTTATTTAAGCTATCACACAGTCACATTTAGGTAGGTTGCAAGAAGAAGACACAACATTTTCTTTAAAACTACAAACAATAAAAGACAAGAATGTTTCAGTACAGAAAGACGAAAATATTGTGTGCATTTGATTGTAGAAAGTAAAATACCGAGTAGATAAGGGATACTTGCCTGAGAAGGCAAGGGCGTACTGTTGTTTGCACAATATTAACGGCATTGATATGTCTGTAGTTGGTAATTACATATGTACAGAGAGTAAACAATATTTTGACAAATATTCATACTATAGGATCACTCAATCATTCATTTTCATTTACCAGCTACTCTTTAATTATTAACAAATCACAATTACACACATAAAACATTCTATATACATATTTTCTTCTCATATAATTTCTGTGAAGTTCTATTTCCTCTAAGAGCTGTGCAATACTATTGCAGTGTAACTGTCTGTAGACAACCAAACCAATGCTTCTGTAATCCACATTAGGAGGATTTATAATACATTGTGCTTTTTGAGTTTATCATTTCTGGCTGAGATGTATCTCTTTTAAATAATAGGAGGTCATGTACAGTCTTAGAGGGATATAGGGTTTAACTCTTTTGCTGTAAACATTTTCATTTGCTATAAGGCATTTTCTACTTCGCTGGAGCTCTTGAGATAAATATCACTAGCGTCTCACTGGCAACAGCACCCACAACGCCCCTATACTGAATTGGCATTACATCACATCGTTAACATCACATAAGCACTACGCAGTTCAAGTACTGTA